AATTATGGTAAGCTCTACCTTGTAATCGCAATGTGCTATTTTATATGATTGCGCCGAGAATTGCGCATTGGGCACATTTATGAGATTATGAATGCGGAAACACTAATAAAAGTGCGGTTTTACGTTAAATTGTTGTTGTGTCTTCATCGCACTTATTCCTTGGTGAATGAATAATAAGTGCGCAGAAGGCGTCAAGACGATACAACGTCTAAGTGCACTTTTATTAGCGTCTCCACTCTTCTAAAGAGTTCAATTTTATTTGCAATTAATAATGTCACAAAACTATGCATAGGAGGCATCACTGCACTGCAAGCCACTTTTTATTGTTGTGTCATAGGATGTATTCTAATGTTTTATGCGTGCAATAATTTACATCGTGATGAACTTTGATTCTAATGTAACGTTAGGTTCTGTTGTCATTGGATGTATTCTGATGTCAAATTTGACATCGTCAAGACGTTTGATTCTGATGTAACGTTTGAGGCTAATGTATTTTTATGTACTTGGACGTCACACTGAAGTCTGAATACATTAAGGGTACAGCAATACACGTTAAAATTTAATGTATTGAAGATGTCTACTGATGTTTCCTACATTACAATTTCTATTCGGGGGGTGCAAGAGTCTGCACCACCCAATCCTTCGCTCTACTGACGAGCCCGATACCGTAGATAAGTCACGACGTGACGATTGCTGATCCGATACACAACAGAGAATCGCGTTGCCCTCGCGGAAGTTAAGCCCCGATCATCTTCAAGATCCGCAGCCTAGAGTCGCACGTGGTTTTGACTATCTTGCAATGGTGTTTGAAGGACAGCGACCGGTCAAGGTTGACGCCAACAACTTTCAGTTGATTCGTCCTCGTACAGCTGTACAGTCGATGAATATATCGTTGTGGTTCTCGACGGGCATTGGGACTGCCGTAAAAAAATCTTGATTTTGTCGCGGAAATTGTGAAGCCGACGCTTTTCGCCCATTTGGCGACAGCTTTCACTGCGGCCTGTAGATCTCTATACAGAGGACGCTCCTTACTTCGTCCGCATAGAGAAGCACGGTAACAGTATGCGGTACCACTCTGAAAATCGGCTGCATCGCTATAAGGAATAACGTGACGGGGACTCCGTTCTACAATAGCATTTCACCCGATAAATGTTCTTCCACGTTCACCCGGAGGTCCAGATTCAGAACAGTTTGGCTTTGGAATCGGCACTATTATTCCGGTTCGCCAGCTGATAGGGTAAACGCCACTACGCCAGACTCTGTTTAGAAGCTGCAACAGCGCGATTTTGACGGATACCGGTAGACGTCGGATCATCGGATACCCTACCGAGTCAGGATCCTGTAGAGACACTACGTACTTTGTCGAGTGCCCACAGAAGCTCATCCAGGGTAAAGTCCGCGTTATATATGTCGTCGGTTTCCGGAAGAAAATCCACGCGATTCCGTTCCGCTCTTTCCTTCGCTGTTTGAAATAATTGAGGATAGCTTGAGGTCACCGATCTCTCACAGTAGTGCTCGGCCAGTTCTTCTGCTATTTCTTCTGCCTTCTCCGTGTAGCCATCGGGTCGCTTGATAACCGCCTTGCTGTATTGTCGTTTGCCTCTCAGGGTGTTCATCGTCCGCCACATGTCTGCCGTTGTGCTGCTAGGTGATATTTTTCGGACAAAGTCCTCCCACGAATGTTCCTTAGCTTCCTTCACTAGCTTCTTAGCCGCTGCCTTCACTTCCTGGAACTGCTTCAAAACATCCGCTGTGTCCGATCCTGCTGTTCTGCTGCGCTTCAGTGCTCTCAGAAGTTTTCGACGCCGCTTAATCACCGTTTTCACTTCCGGGCACCACCAAGGTACCGATTTGGAACCAATTCGTCCTGATGTTCGAGGAATGCTAGTGGTTGCTGTTGATAATATCCGATTGACGAACTCATCAACCCCAATCTCGTCATCCGGTTTGATGCTGCAGGTGAACATACGGTGATTGGATAGTGGTCACTGCTGTGGGTATCCGGAAGTGTTCGCCAGATAAATCTGGGAGCTAGCACCTCCGAACAGATCGAGAGATCTATGGCAGAAGATGAACCATTTGCTGCACGGCAAGAAAAAAATACTCAAAATTAAGTTAAGAAAAACTCAACGTTGGGTTCTATCATTTGAGGTCCACCGTTGAGTAAATCAGAAAAGCGGCGTTGGTTAAAATTTACTCAACTATTGAGTAATAATAAATGAACTCAAATATAAGTTTGTTTTCATTGAGGTTGCTGTTATGCGCCTTTAACCATTTCATTTTCACAAGCGTTGATAGACGAGTGGTCAACACACGGGCCCCGTAATCTTAACGTCCAAGGTTCGGTTCCAGTCTGCTCCGTTTTATCATTTTTTTGTCAACTTGGTCAACGTGGATTCATGATCAGGATTACTCAAAATTGAGTTTTCTTCTTTAACTTAATTTTACCTAGCCCCACGGAAGCCACGTGATGAGTGAAAGGAACTCAATTTTGGGTACTTTTTTCTTACCGTGTGGATCCACCCGCGTGTCGTCAGTGTCTTTTCAGCGATGTAGCGGCCAAGCGCATTCGATGCCGTAGAACCCCAGGCGGGATGGTGCGCATTGAAGTCGCCAAGTACCAACATTGGCGCGGACAGATGTTCCAAGAAATCATTTAGCTGTGGTTGGCACTGTTGCTGGGAATTCGGAGAGATGTAGATCGACACTACCGTCAGTGGCGTCGGAAGATGGATGCGAACAGCAATGGCTTGAAAATCACAATCGATATCGATGCGCTTGAATGGAACCCCCTCAAATCTGGAAGCTGCAATGGCCCACTCTTTGCTACCAGTACTGACGACTACCGGTTTGAAGAAGCAGGGTGTAGTTCTTGCCGGCAAAGTCTGGCGCGACCACACGATTATCCACTTTCGTCTCCTGCAGCGCTATAACGGACGGTTCATGCTGGCTGATGGGCAGTTTGAGCTCGCTGCTGTTGGCACGTACACACCAAATTTCTTGAATCTTGTTCGGTACTTTTTTGCTGGATTTGTTCGGTAAAATGTAATTTTTACTGAATGCTTTGTAAAACATATTATTTTACACATTTTCCGCAATCTAAACTGCTGAATTTCCGTAATTTACATACATTTACCTAAAATTGTAAATAAAATTTGCGGATCGAAACTGTAAAAGGCTGCGATTTCGAAACGCTGTAAAAATTGTGACGAGTATACTGTAAAAATAATCTTTAACAAAATCAAACAGCAATAAAGTACCGAATTCTGTAAAAGTTACTGAACAGATTTTCGTACTGTCAAACTCAATATTAGCTGCCATTTCGATGTTGAGTGTCCTTCGGTTCTACGTTGTGAAGCGTAAGTACTTTACCTTTCGATAGATTCTGTGCAATTTATGCAGAAAATATAATTAGTTTTTCATTTCTGGGCCAATTTCTTTCAGACGCCATGGACGTTATGCAACTCAATGTCCTCCTCTACCGCCGAAACTGCATTTTAGAACGGTTCGCTACTTAGTTGATAACCTCGTCCGGGTTCTTTACACTGATTTTTTTTTTATAATTTTCTGTACAAACTCAAGATGAAAATGCATCTTCTAAAAAAATATATGGTTAAAAGGAATGGATCTTTTGGTTTGATGAAAGAAAGAAACAGTTAATCAATCAATAAAAATTACAATTTTTATTATTTATTCTGAAAATAAAGTACAGTCGATTCGGTAAAAATTATACTGAACGCTACCCGCATAAACAATAACCATAAGATGCGCCTAACCACCAATTCGGGATATCATCCCAATTTTATGTGGTATGGTCGCACCATCTAAGATATCGTCAGTATATGGTACACGTTTATTAGGGTATGGTAAACTTTACCGATCTTTCAGTAAAGTTTACAGTCCAGGTCAGTAAATTTTGACAGGCCGCAAGCGAAGAAAATTTACAGAACGGATTGTAAATTAAAAAATTACCGAATGGATTACCGAATGTTCAGCTGTTCCATATTCGGTAAAAAATTACAGTATACTGTAAAACAATCTTAGTGTGTATTAACAAATAAAACGATTGACGAATCTTGAATGTGGATGGGCCTGAGATTAGACTCATGATGTTCTGCTCAGTAAGCAAAAACGGTTGCTCTAATGCCACCGAGCCCCTCATATCACATAATACCGTTGCTCAAATTTGTGTATCCATTCAAACCCGGAACCAACGACAACAACGAGTTTCGCAAAATACACGATACACAAGCGATTTTACCATAAATCTCTTTCATATGTAAGGACCTGGGACCTGTTTTCTGCTCAGTAAGCAGGCCACTGTAACCGACGATCTTTCAAATCCGAAAACTAAAAACTACGAAAAAGTACTTAGGCCTTCATTAAGTTCCACTTTCACGCGACGTTCAATGACAGGGTCCTATCCAGGATTACATCTGAAAAATCCAAATCTGGCCAACGCCCACCTAAACCTGTTCTAATCCACCTGAAATGACTAACGAATGGAAGACTTTGACTACCCAGCCATGCAATAGTCTCATTCCGTGCCTTATGGCAACTTGATGATTCTATTGCGCTCATCTTTTGGCACCACCCAGGGGAGACTTGGTCCTGTACCCAATGTTTAACTTATCTCCATTCCACTCAGCTACTCGCAAATATTCGGAATATTATTATATGAGACAATTCAATGCAGATGTCTTTCCAAATTTGGCAGATCGACAGGTAATCGGTGAGTTACCACGATAGTTGCTATTCAACAACTCGACAACGTCCCATCGTCAACGCCTGCTATGATAATTTCCCATTGCAGACGCCAACGAAATGACGTCATCGAGCTATCGATCAACTACCCTGGTTATCGACTGGTACCTTATAGCACGATGCTAGGAGGCGAACCGGAAGAATCGATGAGCTACCTTTCCCCCCCACCCGCCGATATACGGCACCTATATAGAACAGAAAGATTTTTCACAAAGTCTTTCAGTAAAACAATCTCATAATTTGATAGGTCATTTATTGTTTGTATCATCTGCTCACAATGTGATAATTTTATTTCTTCTGAATAGAATCTGATGTAATTACAGCAAATAATCGTTTCATGATTACCGAACAAAGAGTCTCTGGGATGACGTTTGTACAGCTCAATAAATATATAAAAATGTTTCAAACACATTTTAATAAACAAAAAAATAAACAAAAGAACACTGTCGTTCGGCTATTACGAAATGCAAATTAGTTACTAACCACTATAAACGTACGGACGTCTTAACTAATGACAAAACGGAGCAACAAAAATATGCTCCTTTCCACGACTAAATTGGAATTACAGGACACAAGTGGCTTATCGACTTAAAATCAGTCCTTTCTCCCTATTAGCTACACATTCATTCATTCATATCTCCCTGGCAAACGGTTCCCAGTCATTCGTTTTCCGCTCTAGATTTTACAGCTCGTCATGCTCGGCTTCATCGTCAGCGTTGACTTCTTCCTCTTCGTCCTTGGAGTCGGCGTCGGCGCTATTATCTTCCTCGGCGAATTCCTCCGGTTCCGGTTGTTCATCCTGTGAGACACCCAACGTCTGGCGCATCATTCGCTCGATGCTGTCGGCAAAGTCTGCAGTTTCCGATAGATGGAATCCAGACCGGAGAGTGGCGGTGTTGAACATCAAAACAGCCATATCCTTCGCAACGACATCTTCGGCATCGGTTTCCACACGGCGCAACAGCTCACGCATAAGTGGGTGGCGAGGGTTAATTTCGAGGGTCTTGCGCTGGTTGAGGTAGTACTGACGTTGCGGATCATCGGTCTTCTGGTGAGCGTTGGCCAAAGCAAGACGTTCCATATTACCGGTCCAGCCGAACATGGACGCAACCAGGGCACATGGGGAGTTGGAAAGACGTTCCGAGATCAGAGCCTTGGCGATTTTGTCCTTCAGAGCAACATCGTTCAACCACTTCAGCAGAGGCTCGAATTCGGTCTTCAATTCATCGAAACGGGCCTTGGATTCTTCCGATTCGTTCAGGACGAAACCTTCCTTGGCAATGTTTTGGAACTTCTTGCCATCGAACTCGGGCAGAGCAGAGATAGAGTATTCATCAACGGCTTCGACCAGATAGAGGACTTCGTAGCCACGCGATAGCAGACGTTCGGCAAATGGAGTCTTCTCGATTTCAGCACGGCTAGCACCAGCAATGAAATAGATGTGTTCCTGCTTGGGCTTCATGCGGGAAACGTAGTCGGATAGGCTGGTATATCCCTTAGGGCTGTCGGACGACTGGAATCGCAGCAGCTTGGCCAGACGCGAGCGGTTGCTTGGGTCTTCCATGATTCCGAGCTTGATGTTGGTAGAGAATTCCTTCCACAACTTTTCGTACGTTTCTTTGTCGAGCTTCTTGATCATGTCCAGTGCCTTTCGGACGAGTTTCTTCTTGATGACCTTGATCAGCTTGTGCTGCTGGAGAGTTTCACGGGAAACGTTCAGCGGCAGATCATCGGAATCAACAACACCTCGAATGAAGTTCAGATAGTTTGGCATCATGTCGTTGAATTCGTCGGTAATGAACACCCGTCGGACGTACAGTTTGATGTTGTCCGATTTGGTTCCATATTTGTTGAAACTCTCCGATGGCTGCACCTTCGGGATGAACAGCAACGATTTGAAGGTCACTTCACCTTCGGCGACGAAGTGAGTGTGCGTCAATGGCTCCGAAGTGTCCTTGGTCAAGCTCTTGTAGAACTCGGTGTACTCATCATCCGTCACATCATTCGGTTTGCGCGTCCAAATTGGTTTGCTATCGTTCATAACCTCCCAGTCCCAAACGGTCTTCTTGATCTTCTTGGTCTTAGGTTTTTCCTCTTCGGCTTCTTCCTCAACCTTTCCGTCTTCTTCCTCGGTTTGGTCCTCGTCCTTCTTCTCGGGCTTCTCAGTGACATCTTCCTCAACTGGGACTTCCTCTTCGACCTCCTTGCTAGTCCACATGTAGATCGGGAAGTTGATGAACTGCGAATACTTTTTGATCAGCTGCTTGACAGTGTCTTCCTCCAGGAAGTCCTGAGCTTCGTCCTTCAGATGCAACGAAATTTGCGAACCACGCTGCAGAGTATTTCCACGCGGATCTTCTACGATGCTGAAGCTAGCCGCATCCGACTCCCAGATGTACTGCTTGTCGTCGTTGTGCTTGGTGGTCACCACAACACGATCAGCAACCAAGAAGGCCGAATAGAAGCCTACACCAAACTGTCCAATCATATCGTTGACATCTTGATTCTCGGTCTTGGTCTCCTGCATCTTCGAAAGGAAATCGGCGGTACCGGACTTGGCAATGGTACCCAGATTGTTAATCAGATCCTGCTTCGTCATACCGATACCGGTGTCGATGAGGTGCAGCACCTTGCCGTCCTTGTCAGCCTTGATCTTTATCTCCAGGTTACTGTTCGTGTCCAGAACGCCAGGTTCGGTGAGCGACAGCAGTCGAATCTTGTCCAGCGCATCCGAGGCATTGGAAATCAACTCACGCAAGAAAATCTCCTTGTTGCGGTACAGCGAGTTAATGATCAGCTTCATCATTCGGTTGACCTCCGCCTGGAAGGTGAACTTTTCCGACTTCTCGCGGAGTTCCTTGATTTGGGCCACATTCAGACCGTCCAGCTTGATGGCTTCCTCCTCGCGTTGTACTGCTTCGGCATCGGTGCGGGACGCTTCCTTTGAGGCACCCAGATTCATTTCCACCACCGGCAGGTCCTCGATGTCCAGTTCGTCCGCCCGGACGGTGGAGATTCCTGTACGGGGAAGAAAATGAACGGGAAATTTGCTGGTGAGTTTGGGTGTAAGAAAATGCATTTGCATGGGTGTGGGAGCTATGCAAAAAAACCATTTTTTATGGGAACCGTTATATATTAGAAATACTCAGAGGGAGAGATGGGCGGAGAGTATATATTGAGCGAAATGAACTGTCAAAATCTGAGCAAATCGAACATTCCCATTAGATTTTTTCCGGAGATTTCTTATTCTTACTACAATAAATTAGAGAGTATTGCAATCGAACAGAAATTCAATCACCTTTATGTTTCGTGTGCTTCTCAAATTCAACTAGTTTTTTTGAATAAAAAACAATACTCTAACTCTATTGATTAATTAATCTTTGTTGGTTAATTAATGGTACAAAGAAATGTGCAAAATATTGCGATGTAATCAATTATTATTTTGCACGTAAATCGATTCAACAGTAAAAGTCATGTGAAATGCTAGCTTCTAGCAAGGGTTGCAAGATAATTTAGGTACAAATCCCTGTTTTCTCCGCTCATCTCTCCCTCTGAGTATTTTCAATATAGTTAGGTATGTTTGTAAGAAAGCTTAAATATACTGAGAGGTAAGCACATATCATTGGTAAGAGACGTATGTGTGTGTGAGAAAATTTGCGAAAAAATCTAAGGGCACCGGTGGGATTCGAACCCACAATTCCCATTCAGTACACGGGTGCATTGTCAATTATACAACGGTGGACCTATATGGTCTATGGATGCCCTTAGATTATTTCGCAAATTTTCTCACACACACGTCTCTTACCGATGATGATGGCTCGGTTTTATCCAATAGTTTATTTGTTAGGCTCAAATATCCAAAAGGACTCCACGGAGCCGAGAAGAAATGGCTTGCTTTATATACAAAAATTTAACCATTGATATTGACAATGGTTTGATCCATTACACATCCGTTTTACAGTCAACTCACAATTGGGTCAGCTAATAAGAATCTCTAGTGACACATTCAGCTCAACAGCGTTCGACCTAGTGATCATAAACATATTTCATGACAAAGTTGCTCAGTAAGTTCTCGTGATTTGCAAACTTAAGAGGCCTCAAGCTTAAAAAAGTGCTGCAAATTGATTTTACTTAGTACCCATCTCAAAACAATTATTTGCTTTGGTTGACCAATATTTGTAAGGTCACTAAGCAGAACGCTATTGAGCTGAATGGGTCATTAGACCTGGCATTCCCCCGAGTGTTTACTTAAATTTTCTATGAGTTGTTTCCACCTTTCCACCAACTGCAGCGCTACTGTATCTGTATTTAAGATTCTGGCAAAGTTCCCAGTCGATTTCTTCGATTTAAACGTATTTTTTTAACTTTTCATCCGCATATTTTCCCTGAATCAATTAAAAAATTAAAATCTCGATTTTGATTTATTTATGTGTACAGTACTTTAGAAATTTGTCAATGTCAGAATTGTCGCGATAATAATACTCTAAAAAAAAACACATCTTACGAATATTCGCACCTCGCAATTCCCTTGCAACCATCCTAAGATGCCTTCAGATTATTCTGATATTAGCTTGAAAATTTCTGCAGCACGCTTTAGAAACTTTCATCAGAAAACTTTTTTATTTCATTCCAAAATTCTCGCGAAATCACGATTCTCTTTTAAGTTCCCTTGTCTGAGAATTGCGTAGCTATACCATTTAGGATTCTGAAGTCATGAAATCCACCTCACCCAAAACCTAAACAATTATCAAAATATTGCTTGCCATGGATAGATATCGAGTAAACTAGAAGATTAAGTGATTTTTCAAGATTTGAGTATGAATATGGCATTAAATCTGGTTTTGAAAGTTGATGCACAGGTAAAAATTGAGGTTACGGGACGCCACTGGTTCAATGTACAAAATATTGAATATTTATCTTGATCCAGATTCTGGAAAATGTCTCCAAGTTTGTCCACGATTTTCTAAAATTTAAATCTGTAAAAAAATATCCAAGTTCCTAAACTTAAAAAAAATATTGTTACTGGAAGCTAAATGCACTTATGAATTATCCAGTCCACTCGATCCAGTCGCGCTAGCTGTTTCCCGCCATCAGCGTCGTTCTGGACCTGCGGTCGAGTTCGGTGGTGGGGTCTCCCAACCATCGTTTTCAGGCAAGTATGCATACATTAGTTACAGTAATTTTCCTGATCAGCTTCCGTGTTCCAGTGCAACGCCTAAAACATCTGCCGGCTATTTCCAGTTGAGAAGCACTTCTGATACTGCTCATGCACAACATCCGCTTTACTGTTCGAACAATCCTAATTCATCTCCGGGACGCACAATAGACCGCTCTTTGGAAGTTCCTGGTTCCTCCAACCCAGTCCTGCCGATTCCTGCCAGCGTTCAGCATAGTCGTCCTGGATCTGTGGCTGGATATGAATCAGGAGTCTTCCACCTTGTCTCTACAGGCAAGTACAATCAATATATTGACTATTCGCTGCCTGATGCCGATCAAATTTTCAGCAATTCGGACTATGTTAGTCATTGTGATGATGATTCTGTAACTCCCAATCCTGGGAACCCGGAACGCGCCGTAGAAAGCCCAATGGAAGCCCCCAATCCCTCCGTCTCAGTCCTGCTATCAGCAGCCTTCGTTCATTATAGTCGATCCGGACCTGCTGTCGGATGTGGAGAGGGGATCTTCCAACCCACTCACTATGGCGAGTATCCATGAGACTTGATGATGGTCAGTTATTGCCTGATGTATCTGTGATTTCCAGGTAGAGCAGTCATTCGATTCCTTACCGCAAGCAGGACGTCGTGATCTTCTACCAAAACGCCTTTACCTTACCAATCAGGCTAAGGCCTTGTTGTCCTCTGCTGTCCGAAGAAGTCGTCTCCACTCTACTCGATCCATGGCCACAGTTCGCCAGCCTCGTAGTCTGCGAAGGGTCCGCAGGTCGCCTTCTACTTGGTCGATCCACCTTGCCCGCTGCGCGCCTCTTCTTCTTGTTCCTGTTGGGTCGCTTTCTGGAACCATTTTCATTGGGTCGTCGTGCGGCATTCTTACGACGTGCCCAGCCCACCGTAGTCACCCAATTTTTGCAATGTGAACGATGGATGGTTCTCTCAGCAGCTGGTGCAATTCGTGGTTCATTCACCTCCTCCACGTTCCGTCATCCATCTGCACTCCACCGTAGATGGTACGCAACACCTTCCGTTCGAAAACACCAAGGGCGCGTTGGTCCTCCACGAGCATAGTCCAGGTCTCGTGGCCGTAGAGGACCACCGGTATAATCAGCGTCTTGTAGACAGTCAACTTCGTGCGGTGGCGAATTTTATTCGACCGGAGCGTCCTCCGGAGTCCAAAGTAGGCACGATTCCCTGCCATAATGCGTCTTTGAATTTCTCTGCTGGTATCATTTTCGGCGGTCACCAGTGAGCCCAAATACACGAACTCATCGACCACCTCGATTTCGTCACCGTCAATCTGAACTCGGGATGGGAGGCTAACATTGTCTTCTCTAGAACGTCTTCCTTTCATGTATTTTGTCTTTGATGCGTTGATGGCAAGTCCAATCCGTCTAGCTTCAGCCTTCAGTCTGATGTACGTTTCCGCCATCATCTCAAAGTTCCGTGCCATAATGTCAATGTCATCGGCGAAACCAAGGAGCTGGATGGACTTCCTGAATATCGTGCCACTCGTGTCTATCCCAGCTCTTCTGATCACACCTTCTAACGCGATGTTGAACAGCAGACACGAAAGTCCATCACCCTGCCGTAACCCCCTTCGAGATTCAAAGGGACTCGAGAGTGTCCCCGATACTCGAACAACGCACGTCACTCGATCCATCGTCGCCTTGACCAATCGCGTCAGTTTATCCGGAAATCCAAAACGCCGGTGGAATGGATTCTGATGCAAATGCTATGCAAAATTAGACGAGTCATACGTTGTATTCGGGGTACAACACAGTAGCTGTATCGGATTGTTGCTACGATGTAATTGTCCTGTGCGAAACGTGGCTTGATTATCGAACGCGTTCCAGTCAAGTCTTCGGTCCTGACTACGAGGTCTTTCGTTGCGATCGGAATCCTAACAACAGCCGTAAATCTATTCGTGGAGGTGTTCTTGTAGCTGTCCGTGGCGGGTTGGAGGCAAAAACCATCGAGAACGATTCATGGAACTATGGGGAGCAGGTTTGGACAACTATTTCTATGCGCTCTATACATTCCACCTGATCGAGTCCGGGACAATGAACTCATCGATACTCACTGTCGGTCACTTTTCACATTATCGAAAGTGCCCCTTCAGTTGATGAGATATTCATTTTTGGTGACTTCAATCTGCCAGGCGTTTCGTGGAGTCCATCTCATAGCGGATTCCTGTACCCAGATCATGATAGCACTACATTTCACACCGGAGCTATTAACCTTCTCGACAACTACAGCGCACGCTTTCTCAAATTAACGTTGCAGTTAACGAAAATGATCGTAGTTTAGACTTTTGCTTCGTGAGCACACAGGACAGGGCTCCATTAATTTCCTCGGCTCCTTGTGCACTAACTAAGCTAGTTCCTAAGCTAACTAAGCCAGTTTCGACGATTATCCTACTACGGTTTCTTATGACTTCCGTAAAGCTGACCACCGTAGCATCATAGATGTATTGTCTAGCATGGTATGGGAGAACATCCTTGATCCAGATGACGTTGAGGCTGCAGCGCAAACCTTTTCACATGTCTTGGCATATGTCATTGACAGACACGTCCCGAAAAGAACTCACCACAAAGTGTCTCACCCTCCCTGGCAGACGAGAGAGCTACGTAGGTTGAAGTTAATCAAGAGAGCAGCATTGAGAAGATTTACGAAGTATCGCACACTTCCTCTGAAACTACATTATGTCAGGCATAACATTTGATAACGGCACAAAAGCATTTGTAAACATCATCAAATGTTATGCCTGATGTGAGGCTGAATCACATGTACCAGCTTGCGTTAAAGTGACTATAATTAAAAAAAAAAAATAAATAAAAAACATGTACCAGCGAGTCAGTCATGAATGCTTTTCAAGTTTCCAACGAGGGATCGAGCGCAAACGTGAACGAGCAACGCAGGGGATCCGGCCTCCCATCGTCTATAGAATTCAACGGAGATGTTGCTGCCACCGTTCATGATATAAGCCACCTTTTTTCCGAAAAGTTTGCCAGTGTATTCACTAAAGAGATACTAACTGACGACCATATTAACCTGGCTGCCAGGAACGTTCCAGTAAATTATCAAACGCTGGGTTCAATTGATATTAATGCTGAGATGATTTCTAAGGGCACAACTCTGCTCAAGTCATCCTTCAATACTGGACCTGATGGAGTGCCATCTGTATTTTTGAATAGACATATTGCTAGCTTGTTAATTCCGCTTCTTCGCCTGTTCCGAATGTCTCTCTCCAGTGGCATATTTCCATCTGTTCCATTGCAAGCAGTATTTGAGTGCTAATCAACATGGGTTTACTGTCTGCAGCTCTACAACCACCAATCTGCTGTGTCTCACATCATATAAAACCGAAAGCATGTCGGATTGGGTTCAAACGGACGTTATTTATTCAGACCTACATTACATTCATTTCATGCATTCATTTACATTCATTTGCCCCTAACTTTTTTCATCAACAGAATTCCGCAAAATGATGTATGGAGCTTTTGTAGGTATGTTATTAACTTTTGTTAAGAACTCAAATCCGTATCTCTTATGCATGACGAACCAGAGCAAACAGAATCTTCTACTATTTATCAGTAAATGTATTTTACATTCACTGAAAAACAGTAACGAGTTCTGTCCGCTCTTATTCGTGATGCATAAGAGATACATATTTAAGTTGTGGGCAAAAGTTGTAGCTAATAACAAAACCTACTAAAGCTCTAATCATTTTGCGGAATGCTGTTGATGAAAAAAAGTTAGAGGCAAATGAATGTAAATGATTTTCCATGCCTGGTGGTAAGCGTGACTGCTTTCTCACCACCAGTGGGTCTGGGTTCAATCCCAGCCGAGGTCGGTGGGATTTTTCTGAGGCATAAAAAATCTCTGGTCACGTCTTTCTTCGGAAGGGAAGTAAAGCCGTTGGTCCCGGCCCATGTTGTGTTGAATAAGTACGATATCCTACGCAGGAAGCTGCCTTCCTGCACATTCGATTGCCTTCAATCGATTGCAATCGATGTCCGTCGGTGATTGGCACTAGATTGCGGAACAGAGACCGACGTTAAATAAAGGAAAGCAGAAGATTTTGTCGAGCAGTTTTGAGACAACCTTCTACCAGTGATCTTAAGAAAATGAAGTAATAAATTCCAGATTTTTCTAGCTTAGCATAAATAAGACCCTATTTTCTCGAGGTTCTTGAAGAAACATGTTTCAAAATACTATTCCATGGCAAAGTTTGAATGGTAGGAAATGTCATTTTAAACTGCTCAAACGATGTGATCCATTAATCAAAATTATGTTTCCTACCACTCAAACTTTGCCGTGGAACAATATTCTTCTAGCACGCTGATCAAATAGAGCTTTATTTTTGCAAGGTCGTCTCAAAACTACTCGACAATATGATTAATTAATAACATCATTCAAATAGTTAAGAATAATGTTTCCTAAAACTCAAACTTAACCATGGAGTAGTTTTTTGATACTGATTTAGGATTGGGAGGATCCACCCTTGAGTTGGTAAGATGAAACACACCTACAGGAAAACCTGTTTACCCAAAGATCAACAGGGTTATTTGATAGTAGTAGGTATCAGCTCATTAATTCAGTTTTACATCCATTCCTCCAGACAGAACGCCATTCTTGCACTATTCAAGTGATTTCCTACATGCGTGGATTATGCTTATCAACTGTTTCACAAGGGGAATCCCCGGCCCAGGGATATCCCAACGTGCCTGTTGTAAATAACCTGCCTAATCGTTCAACAGTTGACCACGTTTTGTAATGTTCTTTAGTCAAGAACGCAATATAATAGAATCTTTAATAGAAATCACCTACATTTTATAATTAATACACAAATACCAAATACAACTTGGCACCATGGCTGATCAAGACAAAGTGTTGAAAGAGTCAAAGCTTGCATCACTGACGTGGCTTTATCCCATTGAATCAAGTTCAACAGCAGAGATTATGGTACAATCTGCTGATGTACAGAACGAATGTCAGTGCATATTGAAGCAAGATTACTTTTTGGCCTTTATTGTTCACTCTATTAAGAGGTAGCGTTTGAATTATCTCATCGAAATACTCCATATGCCGAAAATTGTAAAATGTATCAATTCAACCAGTTTATAAAATCCTTAAAATTTCGATAATTGCAAATTCAATTCCCCACTTCCAACAATACAAGAACCACTATATCTTTCTGTACCACGTAGTCAGCATTTTATTCGGGAATATTCTACGAGTCAAAGATGAAAGAACAAGAAGACGCCACCGAAACTCAGTCCCGTTACCATTTTTTCCCTGCTTTGACTTCGGCACTCACCTGCAAACAGGAAAACTCCCACTATCAGAAGTAGTAGATACTTCATTGCGCCTTCCGTATGCAACACTTTCGTGTTGATTTCTGAACTATCCCAAATCACCGGATAAATTCCGAATGGTTCACTCCCCAAAACTTTTCTTCTTCCGAACACTCGCGGTTACGTTTCCAAACCAACTTCACTTCCTTCGATGACCGATTCTAGGCGAAGACTACGAGCTCGAATGAGGCTTCTCTCGATGAAATAAGGGTACGCGATTTACGGGTACACGGTTCCATTGTACGCACACCAACGCGAAGGCGATTTGGCGACTGGTGATTGGTCCAAATCGCCGGCCGCTGTCAGGAGTCGGCAGGGATGCGATAAAATCGAAATCGCACATTCATATGGAGCATGAAGCTTGCACTGTAACTTGAAAGTGCCCATTAATAAGTACAATTTTACCCTTTTTTGGGGAAAAATTGATTCTTTACACAGCAAAAAAAAAATGTAATATCGATCAAAGTAATTCAAGCTGATGTATGATGTAATAGCAAAAAGCAGATACAATATCAGGCATAACATTTGATAACGGCACAAAAGCGTTTGTAAACAAACTTTCTAAGGCCCTTTACACGCGAACCAAAGTACGCCTACGCAAACCAACAACATCATCGGATAGGGGCAACTATTACCTTTCCGAAAGTGGTATTGGTTTGCGTGGGCGTACTTTAGTTCGCGTGTAAAAGGCCTTAGAAAGTTTGTTTACAAATGCTTTTGTGTCGTTATCAAATGTTATGCCTGATAGACGAGTGCACGGATGGATTTGAGTTCACTCTCCCTACAAAAAGTGACACAACAGCGGGGTTCTGTTTACTAAAAATGAACACATGAATAATACTCGCGTAACATTTGAAACGGTTGCAACAGTTTGGATGTAATACTCAACAACTTTTTTTTTCTGTGTGGGGTATTGAGGTAAACGCACTTCCAGTTGTGTTTTGATAGAGTGCGGTTGAAGAAAAATCATTCGGGCGATAGTGTATTCTTATACCCCGTTCACCTTACAGCCTATATCACGTAATATAGGTGCTCATTGCAAAGCATTCATACATAGGATTTCCAGTGAATACTAGATGTATTACCCCGTTCACATTACAGCCTATATCAGCCTGCTCATTGCAAGACAGTCTATATTACGTGATATACGCTGTAATGTGAACAGGGTATTACGCGTTGTAATAAGGACAGTGTTATTTAAATTAACTCGGTGTTTGAGTTCCCACGGCATAGAACCATTGAAATACCTCGGTAAACACATTCACTAAAGCGCTGTCCAGATTGAGCAGTTATAACTGTTATAACTGTTGTCAAATAATTGCAACACAGAAACCACCATCAAGATAGCGCTTTAACATGTTATAAAGGGTGTCCACGATGAAATTGCCACACACAAAATTGATTCGTAAAATTCGAGTTTTCATCCGATTGCCATCAAATTTTCAGGGATTGAGAAATAACTATTAAACTTCATTTTACCATTTTACTCGTATTTTATTTACAGTCCGTACGCAAATGCCCACACCTTGGCCTTAACCCCGGCCATAAGATTCTGCACAACCTGTGAATCAACCGTTTTTTGCATGTAAACCCATACTTTCTTCAGTTCCTCGACTGTCTTCACTACCTTAGGTCGTTTAAGAAGGTGCTGCTTCATAATCGCCCAGTACTTCTCGATGGGGCGGAGTCGTATGAATGAAAATGTATGGAGAAAACAAGAATTTGGAATGGAAATGGTTCTGTGTATTTGTAAGGTCCAGTTCCAAAAAAACATAATACATAAGGTTGAAACTTTATCATTAAACGTTCATGTAAAGTTCCATAACCATTTCAGTTAAAGTTTAGCAGGGATTATAAACAATTTTTAACCATTTTAGGTAATGTCAATTTATGGTTCGCGTTTATGCGGGTGAGCAGTTATAACATGTTATAACGGTTGTCAAATAATTGCAACACAGAAACCACCAAGCGCTATAACATGTTATAACGATTCTGTGACACTACCCCGAATGTCACTACCCCGAACGCCATAACCCCGAGCGCCATTACCCCGAATGCCACTACCCCGAATGTCCTACTACCCCGAATGGCCATTACCCCGAATGCCCTACTACCCCGAATGGCCATTACCCCGAAATTAAGACAAATGAAAGAACAGCAAGGGGTCAAAAGAAGGGTACATTTTTAGAAGGAAATTTCGTTTTGGAATTTATATATATTTATATATATTTATATTATTAAATGATAATTTTTTATTGGAATTTTGAAGCTTGCAAGCAAGCAAGCTTGTTTTACGCGAGAAGCCCGAGAGATGTCGTTACTGAGGTCCTATGTTTTGAGATACTATGTTTTCAAGAAAAACTTTTTCAAAGTTTTATGTCTGTTGTCTGTGATTAAACTCTCTGATTAGTTTCACTTTACTAAATTGATGATACACTACGTTTACTTTTATGGAACTATGTATTTATCAATTCCAAACCATTTTAAAGCTCTTTAGAAAATGACAACCTTCAAGTTTTCGAGCACTTCGTTCACCATTTAAAAAGTCAAAGGGTCTAATATGCAATCCAATTCAATATCCAATACCAGTCGGAAACTGTTAAACCTTATCAAAGAATTGTTCGACCTGAGTCTAGATCTGAGTTGAAGAATTTCTCGTTATGGATTGAAAAATCGGTGCATGGAACGTTGAACTAGCGATTACAAATTTATAACATTATTCCACACGTTATTATCCCAAATGGTCATTACCCCGAATCCCTTGCCAAAAGCTATTGATTACATATTTTCCATATATATTAAAAGAAGGGAATATTCCCTTCCCTTCTTTATCATACATCCAAAGAATAAATTATTTTCTTAAATTAGAAAGGAATATTCCCTTCTTTATCGTTCATCCAATAATTAATTATTTCCTTTTGTTATATTTTCAAAGAAGGGAATATTCCCTTCTTTATCATATATTTAACGAATTGATTATTTTCCCTTTTATATATTAAAAGAAGGGAATATTCCCTTCTTTATCGTATATCCAAAGAATTAATTATTTCCTATTGTTATATTTTCAAAGATGGGAAACCCCCTTGAGCCATTAAGGGGCTGTTCATTAACTACGTAGACAGTTTTTGTGGGATTCTTGACCCCCCCCCCCCCCTTCCCCTGCGTAGACAATTTTCCATACAAAATTTTTAAAATTTGTATGGACCGTGCACAATTGCCAGCCTTCCTTTTCCTGGAAGCGACTGTTATTACTTTCCCTCCTCCAACCATTTCACAACAAAAGCAAAACAAAACACTTCGGCACGTTTTTTTTTGTTCTGTTGTCAAAGAAAATAGTAACCCATCCCGGGTTGCAACTCGGTCTTCAAATTAGAAGACCGGCTACTACCCGGGAGTGCGTTCACAGTTAAGTTTTCATTTTGAACACCCATTTAGCACCTCACGGTGGGAGACGTGGGTATTAAACCCCGTTTAGCACCCCCCAGCGGTGGAGATGCTCTAAACAATGCAATTGGGATTCAACTCAATGTTAATTTCTAAAGAAACATGTCAGAAGGGTATAACTCGAAACGTAAACAATGACTTTGATCGTCGATTTCTCTTGAATGACCACACACCCACGGAATCTAATTACACTAGCTCATGGAACAAACATTTCTCTGTCAGATGATTTAGTTAGTTTGAGTGGGTATGTAGTCATTCGTAAGAAACCAACGATCCAAGTCATTGTTTACGTTTCGAGTTAGACCCTTCTGACATGTTTCCCCTGATTTGTAGATCTCATCGTTTGTTTACATCAATTGAACACTTTTCATACGAGTGCTCACATTATGTAAAGAAGTGTTGCCAGTTGACCTTCTCCTTCGGAACATGAGCAGCTGTGCTTACATATTTTTTGACAGTACCCCTTCTCCTACTCACTGAAAAACAAAATAAAGATTATGAAATCAACGCAGCGTAATTCTGTATAACTGTTAGCTTTTATCATCACGTTTAGCTGTTCAAAGCAGTAAAATGTTCCGACAAATAGTGAAATTTGCAACCCCAGGAACGGCAGTCCTCTCAGCCGGGCTATTCCCTTTCAACACCAACGAAAACGACCGCATCGAACATGCACCGATGCAGAAAATGCTCGCCGATGCGCCCGGCGATCAGCAAACTGGCAAGGAACGACTGTATCTTATGTTCAGTATCGAGTGAGTATAAGAACAACTACTGTTGGGTGGTTCGGATATAGAACGATTATTTATAGTAATTCTTCAACAGCGAATTTGGTCGAGTGTCCAGTGAGGTGAATTCCATCTACCAGGCAGGCTTTCTGGGCTTCCTGGTGGGAGCGTGCTACGGTGGGTTTATTAATTCGCGAGTGGCTTACATGAACTTTATGGAACGGAATCAGGCCACGGCCTTCAAATCCAGCTTTGAAGCAAAGGTTAACTATACATTGCTCAAGCTTGTACTGATTGAATTAACCAAGTTTTTTCGTCCAATACAGCGACAACTTCAGGACCAAGTGACGATCAATTTTGCCAAGGGAGCATTCAAATGGGGATGGAGATTAGCGTTGTTCACTACAAGCTATATGTGAGTACCTATACATTTGCTTCTGCAAATCATGTGCAATGAATGCTATAATTTCTTCAATCCGACAGTGGACTACAAACTGTGATATCGGTTTACCGTGGAAAGTCTTCCATCTACGAGTACCTAGTGGCGGGAGGAGTTACCGGTGCAATGTACAAATTCAACATGGGCCCGAAAGGGATGACCAGCGGTGGACTGGTGGGTATGGCCTTGGGAAGTGCTGCTGGATTAGCATCGTTGGCTATACTCAAATCAACTGGAACCACTATGGAAGAGGTTCGCTTTTGGCAGTACAAGTGGAGAGTCAATCGAGACGAGGCGATAAACGAAAGTATGAAAATGCAGAGCACGGAGGAAGCCGATCTGTTGTTGGCGAATCATCATGAAAAGTTTGGAACCTCCAATATCGCACTGGAGAACATTGTAACCAGTAGCACGAAGAGTAGCAGTTCGGATACCCCAACAACACCGACTAAAACGGAGGAAGGCGTGAAAAAGTAAACGTTTGTAAGGTATAGTGTATGAAAAAGCAGTTTCCTATCTTTATTTTGTTACTTCGAAATTCCTATGATTCATACAGACTTTAATGCAACTCTGAGATACCCTTTCTAAAGTTACTAAGCTTAGCTCTTGGTCTGAAGCATCTTCTTTCGGGCTTGCAACTTTTCGTGTTTCAACCGAAGCTGCAATAGCCACGCAGAACCGGACATGTCGTCTTCTGTTTTCGGTTTTCCTGCAATTGAAATGAAGTACCGTTGTCAGTATAGCCGTAGCATCAGCTGCTGTAGTATAGTATTGTTAATTGTAAACTTATCTGCTTATGAAGATGAAGCGTATAGTTAATTCGCTTGTTGAATCACGCACAAAATGGAAATGTACAGAAACACTTGATCTTGAGGGTCTGTAATGTGCATGTCAGTGTTTTGAGTGTCATGCTTGGAATCATACTGCCTCGTGCTTCATTATTACCAAATCATCCTACCTTACCTGCCTGTCCTGCACAGTTTCAGATGCAAACTGCTGTATTACCCATAAACGCGTTTCTATTGGAATCGATGGATAACTATAGATAAAAATAGGTATGTAGGTATTTCTATAATTTTCAGGACTTATGCAAAATTTGACTTTTTCGCTCCACAGTGCTTAAATGGTTTCAAATCGGGTCCTGATTAGCCTCCCAAAGTTACAACTTATTTGGTTAGAAACAGACTTCGCACAAGCCATTTGTAGTTTACATGTAAATTACTATGGGAAATCCCAACTTTTTGTTCATTGACTTCTAGTCTTTTTTCATATTGAGCTGCGGAACAGTTCGATAGCCATTCTTATAGAAAATTTTCACAGCTACAACTTTGCTTAAGATCGTTTCTAAGTAAAACGAGACAGGAAAAAGTTATTAATTATTTAAGAGATTGGTAAACTTATGACATGATCAAGCAGCTGCTCTGTAAGCAACACTGTATTGTGCAGTTTGACATAGTAGCCATGATTGTTGTGTCCTATTCAACGCCCCAGAAACACCAATGTTGCCTGCTGAGCAGTTGATTGAGCATGATCTTAGGACATCAGCGCATTGAACCATTGATAACTTTAGATCCTTGCATTTAATCAAAAAGTGGTCTTCAGCTTTAGCTTTAGTCTACAAGTACAGTTGAATTTTTTTAAAGTAGGTGAATTATTAGATAAACATGAACAAAAATCTTGGTTTTACCATGGTAATTCCCATACAAACTTCAAATGGTTTGTGCCATCTCTGTTTCTCACCAAATGGGTTCAAATTTTGAGAGGTTAGTCAGGATCCGATTTGGAATCGTTTAAGTATTGTGGAGCGAAAATTTCAAATTTTGCATCACTCTACTGTGTATGTGTAACTAACACACTAACTTTGGATTACCGAAGTCAGTAAAATTTTGCTGAGGTTTTGAACTGCGGACCGCCCAGTTATCTGTTCAGTGACAAATCCTTTTACCGAACAATCCGCAATCATGAATTTCCATCCAAAATACTGTTTAGTTAATCGTTTAACAAAAAATAACTGACAAACCCAGTAAACGTGATTTTGCTTCTGCCAAAATAATGCTGACCATCCTGTTTAAATGAATGTATCGAACAACCCAATAATTGTATATTTACAATAACAAGCTTTATTATTAAAGATTTTTAGACGTATTTATTTATTTTTAGTGATTTACACTTACAAAAACATTTTTTTCAGCTGATAAAACTATCTCAAGATTTTGTTTTTCCTCTACGACATGCTTAAATGATTCTTCGATAAAATGATGACATCCACCTATAATAAAACATTAAAACTAGTAGATTTTATCGTATGCTCTGCCAACGCCTTGCATGTTCCTCCGACTATATTCACGTCGTAGGCGAAGCAAATTAACTGACTGGGTTTATTAAAGATCGAACAGGAGGTAGGAAAGATCTTCTCATTGTCGAAGTCCTTTGCGTGTTTCAAACGAGTTCGATAATGCACCCAACATATTCACAGAGTACTGTACACCATCTATCCTATCTAAGTCTTGAGCAGTCTGGTCAGTTTCCCGGGAAAACTGTTCTCATCCATAATCTTCCATAGCTTTCCACGGTCAATAGTATCGTAGGCGCCTTTGAAACCGATGAGTAGTTGGTGCTATGGGACTTGATATTTACGATATTTTTTGATGATATGTCGTAGCACCAATCTGCTTGCAACTGTGTTACCTTAACTCCTAACAAATACGCGTTGTATCCGCGGGATCGTATACCTTGTCTAATTTAATGTACCCAGTGCTGGAAAAGTTCGCGATATTTCACGAAGTTCACCAAGGGAAAAGTTCGCGAGTCATAGTGAGTTTTCGCGAACTTTTCCATCACTGTAGTACCATAATGATCATAGAATTAGACGAGGACCCCCGGATACAACGTATATTTGATATGAGACAGGTAACACAGTAGTAGCGACATACGACAAGAGATTATCCTAGAAAGCAGTCCCATTCTAACTTGTCCCCGTGTGTGTATATTCACAGACAATCAGACGTAACACTTTATTCTGGATCATCGTTGGATGTTTTCAAGAAAAACTTATTCAAAGAATTACGCCTGTTTGTCTGTGATATATTGAAACTCTCTCATTCCATTCCTCCGGTAGCTGTTCTGTATCCCAGATCCTAACTATCAGATGCAGAAGAGTAGTCAATCGATCACCTGACGTTCATCTGTCAAGATATTTGTCAATCCTTTGTGGGATTGCGGCGTTGAGTTTCTTGTATTATCGGTCAAGTTGGACACCGGGAAACCCCAAACGTCGGACATAGTGCGCGTTACACCGCATCATTGTGCGAATACAGCGCACTATCTCCGACACTATGTTTAACGTACAGAACAAGAGTATTTTTTTTTTGTCTTTATTATAGAGACTTTCAGCCTTAGACTGGTTCGTCTCTTTATTTAACAGAAGAAGCATCGAAGGAGGCCCCCTTGGCAAAGCATAAACATAAGTTTACATAACAATAATTTTTTAAAGTTCCATAAATTGAAATGTCAGGTTTAGTTGCGTTGTTCATCAAGTCAGTGAGGTTGTTAATCAAGAAACCTTAATCGTAGTCCTGTAGTGGCGCACTTTGTTGTTGTTTAGAAGTTCCCGTGGTTGATGTCAGCTAAATTCGTTCGTACAGTTTTGTGTCTTTAAGGAAACAGAGCAAAGCTGTTTCTGTTGAAGGGTCGTTAGCAAGAATATCTCTTATACCATTTTCTAGTCCGTATATTCTTCTCGAATCTTGATATTGAGGGCAAACAGCAACAGTGTGTTCGACAGACTGCCGAATCCCACAAAAATCGCATAGGCTTTGATCGTATCGTCCCGACTGGAAGTGACTAATTCGTGTGTGGCCGGTTCGCAGCCTAGATAGGATTCGTTGATCTTTTCTATTATTTTGGTCATTCCATTTGGTAGTCTCACCTTTAACCTTACGAAGAAAAAGGTCTCTCTCTTGTTGCCATGCTACTGCCCAAGCTACCGAAATTATGTTTTTAACCCAGGTTTTGGCATCTTGAAAGGGTACCTGTGTGGTGAGTAGCTGCGAATCTCGACCTAAGGCCGCAAGCTTATCTGCGCTTTCATTGCCCGGGATGCCGCAGTGTCCGGGAATCCAAACGAAAAGAATGTTAGGTTTCACTGTCGCCCGGATCATTTGTACCCATGGGTGACGTATACGGTCCGTTTCAAGGGCTTTAAGGACACTCGCGGAGTCTGATAATATGGCAGTATAAGTTGCCTTTGCATTGGTCGCTGCTTGATGAATAGCTATGGCCTCAGCCGAGAAGACTGAGCACATGTTTGGTAGCCGCTGGTGTATCACAAGATCTCTTCCTGACACACCAACACCTACTCTGCCATTGGCCTTGGAACGATCGGTGTATATTAAATCATATCCAACTAACGTCGTCGCTTTCATACGATTGAAAGTACTTATAACTCCGGCCTTACTTTCTCCGACTTTATAAGAACATTGAAAGGACCAGTTGACCTTCGGTTTGGAAGAGTCCCGTCCTTGGCCTCCGATCCGGTCTAATTCAGCTACCGGTGGGAGTTCCTGATGAGCCAGTTTCTGAAGGAGTTTGTTAGCCTCCCTTAGGAGGAACACTCCCTCCTCATCTCCGTATGTCTTTTCCATGAAGCTCAAAGCTCTCGAGCAGGTGGTTATGGCCATGATGTAATGGAAAGGTAACACTCCAGCTTCGACACACGCTGACGACGCCGGCGTGGATGGTAGCAAACCAGAGACTATTCTTATGCAGCGATTGTAGGTTGGTCCTAGTTTCTGCATCATCTCGTCTGAAGATCGGCAGGTGAGCTCTATACCGTATAACAGTCTGCTGGTTACGATGGCCGTGGAAACTCGGAGCGCAGTATCGCGGTTTTTGTGATTCCGCCGGTTCGTTATCAAGCGTAATAGGCGTATTCTTGATTGACAATCTTCTCGGACCGTGTTAAAATGTTTTTGGAAGTTGAGGTGGCGGTCTAGATAGACGCCGAGAATGCGACAGCAGGTCTTGTAAGGCACTGTGTTGCCTTCGATTTTGATAGGGTTTGACTCCGCCCGGTGTCGACCGTTACAGATGTGTGTAAAGTTACTCTTGCTCGGTGACAACTCAAAACCTACCGATTTGGCCCATCTGTTAACGGCATTGACAGCTGCTTGAAGCTTTTTCCGAAGTGAAACTGGTCTATGCCCGACAACAACGAGGACGATGTCGTCAGCATAAACAAAGATGTATATATCTTTGGGAAGGTCCCCAAAGACTCCGTTCATAGACACTAGGAACAGTGTGACTGCGAGAACAGAGCCCTGGGGGTCTCCAGTCTCTTCCCTAGAACAAGAGTAAAGTCGATTGTCACGGGTGGGGTTTTCCGGTTTTCAACGGTACCGACAATATAGCTTCTGCGTCTTTTGCAAATTATTCACCTGTTCTGTTTCTGCGCACTCTAACTTCTTTAGGCTGTCTGCGTTTCGGTATCGATCTGCATTCATCTCG